TGACTTTTTCTTCTTAATTATGCTATTGAGCACATCCACTGAATTTTTTAAAAAATTCCGATGTATTTTAGTTGGGCAGTTTTCCACTTTATTCCTTTTTATATTTTCTGCTTATATTTACTAACTTATCATTCATTATGAGTTTATTTTCCTTCACCTCACTGAGCATATTTTGAATAGGTGGCTTAAAGTTCTTGTCCGGTAATTTCAACATACAGTTCATCTTGGAGTTGGCATCTGTTGATGGCCTCTTCTTTGAAAATGGATTCCACTTTCCTGACTCTCTATGCCACATAATTTTGAATTGTGTCTTAGACGTTAGGAATGTTACGTGGTGGAGACTGTAGATTCTGCTACATTCTTTCAAATAATGTTGATTTTTTTTGTCTTAAGAAGGCATGCAACATCATTAGATTTAAACTGCAAATTGTGTCACCCCTCCTGTGGGTAGCAGCTCTGATCCCAGTTCAGACTTGGGTCAGCCCCGCATGTATGTCACAGACTGGAGCATAGTTCACATACAGAATTTGGGGCTTTTCTTTGCTTGCTCTCTCTTTCCAGTGTACCTCTGTACTCCCTGGTTGCTCTGGTTGTCCCCAACTCCTTGACCTGTTTCCTCCACTCAGAAAGATGGCCAATATTCCTATTGGTATCACCAACTTCCCCACCACTGTGCCTGCAGCCGCTCTTAGGTCAAAGGTGCAAAAATGTTAAAGTGACCCTGTGCAGATCTGATTTCTTTTTCCAAGATTCCAGCTCCCTTGCAAAGTTTTAATAACTGAGTGGTTCAGACTCTCACATAGCGGTCTTGTTTTTTCAAGTTTTGCCCAAGGTTTCTATTTGTTTTCCTAGAAGACATGTTCGTTAGGAAATTAGTATTTACTACAGAAGTGCGAATTAGGCATTGATTTGAAAAATATTTCTAAAGGCACCACTGCCTCACTCTAAAGAGTCTGGGTCCTTTGAATGTGGTTTAAATGCAGCTCAATCTTTGATGTACAATGCTTTCTAGGCTTACTTAACTATACCTGATGGAGGTGGATGTTATGGCAAATGAAGGATATTTGAAGGGTTTTTGATAGACCTAACACAGCATCCCTCTAATATTTCTTGATGTGTAAGTAATTTTGTCAAAGACAGTTTATAAATAGCTTTGTGATGAAGAAAATAAGTTAAAAATATGCTCTTTCTTGTTTTTCTCAATAGTATTTTGTCAGCCTCTTTGTACTTGAAATTATATTTAGCATTTTAAAAGAACAGTAAAATCTCATTTATCCAGTAGATAGACGTTTAGAAACAACCACCATTTAGAATACGGTTAAATGACCCTAATCCTAAAAGAAGTTTAAGAACAGGGAAAGGGAAATGGGTAACAATTAGGAAAATTTCTAGCTTAACCTAGTAGAGAAATTACTGTGCTGTTTTCTCTACTTTTCTCTGTGTTGTTCAAAATAAAAAAGTAAAAGAGAAAGAGAAAATTATAGGAAAAGGAGTACTATGAACTACTAAATAAAAGAAAGTTGATAAAGCACACCAGATTGACAGACTGGAAAGAAATCAACAACATAATAATCTGCATTGATTCAAAAAGTATTTAAAAAATTCTATACTTACTCATAAAAAATGTGTAGAGGTTTAACACTAAAAGAAAATATAAGTAACATGTAGATTGAAACACAAAAGGAAAAATTGTCATGATCTTCAGTTTATATGATTTTCCACAACAGATCTCCAAAAGAATATATTTGAGATCTCCTACAACTGAGAGACCTCAGAAGTAATGTGAGCAACACATAAAAATCACTGTTACTGTACCCAGCAGTAATGAATTAAAGTATATAAATTTAAAAATTACCCCATTCATAATAGTATCAAAACTCTAAGTTACTTAGAAAAATAATAGTAAAACATATCCAAAATCAGTATAGTGAAGATAATAAAATGTTTTGAGACATATAAAAGAAGTCTTGAATATATGGAGAAATAAACAATCCTTTTGATTCAGAAGGTCAATATCAGATTATCAGTTCTCTCCAAATTCATATATGCATTCAAGACTATCCCAATCAAAAAATTTCACCAAGAATTTTATGGAACTTTACAAATTGATTCTAAAGTATGTGTGGAAGGATAAAGGACAAAGAGCTATCCAAGGTAATTTTCTTGAAAGTGAAATAATACATACTTGCCCACTCGGATATCATCTAGTTACTAAACTACAGGTTTCAAATGTGGTCTTGGTAAAAGAATAGAAATGTACATATCAATGGGAGCGATTAGGGGGCCCGTAAACAAAAAATGCTCCTGTGGGAACTTGATACAGAACTTCAACTTGATATGCATGCTTTTTTCAAATATAAACCAAAAAGCGTTTGAGACAAAATAAGGAACACATGCACACACACACATACACGCACATACACGCAATTATCTTTTGGAAGAAAACACAAGGAAGTACCTTTATCATTTCAGGATGGAATATGATTCCTTAAGTAGAATGTCAGACGTTAAAGGCACAAATCCTAAGGTTGAAGATTAATATGTCTGACTACATTAAAAACTAAAATCACTATTTCAACCTAAGTTTTCATTGACGAGGGAGTATAATGGAAAAATTGCAGTACGTTCATTTGAACGGGGTGCCATATATCAGTTAGAATGAATATTTTTGATTTATACATACACCATCAATAGATCTATAAAGCATAATATTGAATAAAAAATTTTTAGAATGATATGAAAACTTTGATGCAGATTATGTTATTTCTAATATAAACCTTAGGTGTCCTCAGGTGTTACACTGATTTTAGGACCTGGTTATCTCTGAGAATAGGAAGAGTAGGACAAAGGAAGGTTGACCGTGGGAACCAACTATCTGAAGTGTTTTGTTTTAAAAAAGGAAGAATAATACATAAATCAGAAAGGTAGGTTACAGCATGTTAACAAATCCTTGTGCTTAGGGAGTGCGTGGGCATTTGTTAGTCTACGTATTTTTTTCATTCTTGGAATATTTAGTAATATAATATAAAAATATTACCTGAGGCATAGAGAAAGAAAGAATAGACTGTAAAATTTTATATGGTGCCAAAATAATCCTGATGCTAAAACCTGAAAATAACACAAAAAGGAAGTGGCAGATAAATGTGACTCATGGATGTCTGTGCAAAACATCTTCAAGCGTTAGCAAATAGAATATAATAGTACATTAAAAGACACCTCACCGAAGGAGTGTCTCCCAGAAATACAAGGTCACTGCAATATTAGGAAATTATAAACTCAGTGCGCCATATTGATGTTCTAAGGTGAGAAGACAAGAACACTCATTTCAGAAGATAGCAAAAGAGCAGTTGATCAGTCACCATCATTCCTGATTTTAAAAATAATAATTAAATAAACCCTTGTTGAAACTCATGGAGGTATTCTTGTTTAAAAAAGGTTTTCACTACGTTTGGATCAGAAACAAAAGAGGATTTATAAAATGCTTAAAATATACAAAGAATAATAGATAAAAACACCTGTATATGAACTTTCTAGTTTTAACATGATTTGTATAGCTCAAACTCCAAGCCAATGGCAATGTTAGAGAAATGAACACTAGAAGCATCTCCATTAAATTCAGGAATTAGACAATGGTACCCCTCTCAACAGTTTTATTTAATGTTGTTTTGTTAGTAGTAATGAAATTAAAAATGAAAAAGATAAGTTACAGGTATTAGAAAGGATAAAACAGAAGCAATTCTTTATTTGGAGATTATGTGACTGTATTCTTAGAAATTCCAAAAGAATGAAATGAAAAGCTATTTGAAACAATAAGAAAATTCAGTAAGGTTCTTAATTTAAAAAAATTAATATATACAAATTATTAGCTTTTATAGGCAAACCATTGCCTGCCTGAAAAATATAATGGAAGAAATAATTAAATTTATAATAGCAACCAAAAATATAAGCAAGAAATATATAATATCTGCAAAAAGAAAACTTACAATGGTAGAAAAAGTTTGTAGTAACAGGTGAAAATACTGCTTTTGGAAAGGAAAATTCAATATTTAAGATGCAGAATCTGCCCCATCTTCTAAGTTGAGCTGTTATACGAGTTACTCTAGTTACTCTTTCGAGCCTTTGTGAGGGAACGGCTGATAACCACAAATTATCTTACCTCAGCTTCTGCGCTATGTGTGAGTTCGAAAAGAAAGTGGGGCTCAAGTTTCAAAGTAATTTGCCCAAGATGTCACTCTTGCCTCATGTCATCATTAGCATGTGTTATCTTATTTGTCCTATGAATTAGTGTGTTCCTTGGAGGTAGGGCCATGTCTTACTTGCATTTATGTCCCCAGTGACCACTGTAGCATAGGCACTTACATTCAAACCCAAGCCCTCCCTTGTCCTTGTCCCAGATTCAGAGGCATAGAAGTCGGGCAGGTACACACGCACCTTGTCTGATGTAGGCAGTTCAAGCCCATCATTTTCTTGTGGCCATCTGGCCTCAAAATCGGAAGACTGTAAGATTTTCAAAGAGACTTTGGAAACCTGAAGTCTTCACCTAAAATATTTGGATTTTTCAACATTGGCAGCCAATTTAAGAAGTACTCACTCTCTCCAGTTCAAATAAACCTCACTGTTGGCAAAATTGGGCCTGTGGCCCCCCTCTTCATGACCTTCGATTTTTCCAAACTACTTTACCTAAATTCTGGTACACGAAATCCAGGAAGAAAAAACTGAATAGGGTTGATAGGGTCATAGAGTTTCCAGATATGGGGCTACTGTATCTGTCTATTCTAGAGTGTGACGAGCCAACTCATGTCTACATTTTCCTCATTCTACTACCAGTTCTAAATCTTTGTTAATCAGTGTGTGTGTGTGTGTGTGTGTGTGTGTGTGTGTGTGTGTGTGTGTTAACCTGTTTGGAACTGACTTAGAGAGTCCTAAGTCAAGAGTAGGAGTTTAAGATCGCTCCCACAGTTTTCTCAAGCAGTCATTGGTCTTATTTGTCTTCCAATCAGGTGTTTTTGGTCACTGTCTGGAATTTCGAGCTGTATATGATCCCCCTGGCGTTATTGCTGCTGTTTATCTACAATTTCCTCAGACCCATGAAAGGGAAGGTTGGCAGCGTCCAGGACAGCCAGGTGAGCAAAGATTCCAGTAAGTCTGACTTTTGACTAAAGACAAATGTGTTAACAACAATAAACCAACAGCACCACCTCCTCCAAATCATGGCCTAAGTCCGTTGCATTTGATGCTTGAGAAGCAGCGCTGTACATGTATTCAAGTTACAGGGGCAAGATCTCTTCTCAGGCATAGTCTGGAGACTTCCTTCTGTGGCATCTTATGTTCCTGAGTCTTGGCCTACATTCTTAGCTTGAGGAGAGCCCTCCGGTTCTTGGTCATCATTTCTATGCCAACAGCACACGTCAGTGTGTCCATCTGGTTCTCTGTCAGGTTCCTGTGACTAACACTCTCAACCACTAGGGAAAAGCCTTTGGTGACTCTCTGATGCCCTTCGGGGCACAGCGAGCCTCTGGGAGGCTGCCTCAGACCTCTCCCCATAGGCGCCCTGTGCAGTGTTCTCCCCTGGCCTGAAAGCTTGGGGGATTTGTGGAGCCTTACCAAATCCCGGGGCAGTCAGAGAGGGGTGGGCATGGGTCCTTCTGTTCTCAGGTGCCCGAGTTTTTCTTGTAATTCTCAAACTCCCTGTGGTATTGAAGAAAGTCTGGCCAAGGCCCCTTCTCAAAGCCATCCCCCAGTGTCTACTGATCTGACTTCTTTCCCAACGTTCCTCCTCCACCCCTCTTATCCCAGCCCATAGGATCTTTTTCTGCTCTGGGTGAGAAGGAGCTTGTATTTATAAGCTTGCTTTATTAATCTTGGCATTCCAGATTCAAGAACCAAGTTTGTAAAACAAAAATCCAAGGTCTCGAGACTTGATAACATCTTCTCTAGAAAGATCACCTTCACTTGGAGTTTTTCAAGACTCAAAAGCTGACCAGCTTCACCTGTTTTTCCTTATAATGTTCTCCTTATAAAAACATCATCTCTGAAGTAGTGGATATTTAAGGGTTGTTTCTGGTTTCATTTGGGATAGAAGGGAAGTGGGAAAAATGAGTGTTGTGGCAGGAAGTCAAACCTCAGCCAAATTCAAAACTCTATTGCGTTTGATTTTTTATTGTTTAGTGCAGTAGGCATGGGCATATATCTATAATAAGGTGCCTGAAGATGCTGGAACCAACTAGTAAATAAATAGCTTTAAAGTATAGGTTCATTTAAGAACTGAGTTTCACAGAGATACAGATAAAGGCAAGTTTTATAGAGAAACATCTGTTATAAAAATGCCGTCAACTAACATTTTTACAATTGTAATCATTTTATTTTTCCAGCTATATAAACACAATGTTTATAGCATATATATATGTGTATATGTGTATATGTATGTGTGTGTATTTGTATGCAAGTATATATAGACTTATGCATCCATACATAAGTATACTTATGTATATGTGCATGTAAATGTGTATGTGTGTTCATAAAACCTTTTTAATTTGTGAAACATTTTCAAACTCATCACCTAATTTAATCTTGATAACACAAGCATGAAAGAAGCAAGAACTACCATTCTCATTTTACGCTTGATGAAACTAAGATTCAGAGTGGCAAAGTGATTTGCCCAGAGTCACACAGCAAAAATTGCTGGAACAGTATCTCTGGCTAAAGAGTTTGTCTTAAGCTGAAGACTGCTAACTGCTCATTACAGTTTCGTTCCTCCCCTCGTGTGTTTTCTTTGTATTCATTTGCTTTCATAAAGCAGACTTGCTGCCAGTGGTACATGGGTTGGATCAGTGAGTGTCGCACAGACTGCTAGGCGAAGCTCATGGGAATTCTGGGAGGTAACACGGTATCAGCTCTGGAGAAGTTGCCTGAGGACTGCTCAGTGGTTTTATGGGGTATAGCAGAGTACTCTGGGTACTTTAGAGTTCCTCCATTTGAAGAGCATGGCACCCACCATTCTTTTTGCTATTGGAACAATGACATCTAAACAGCACGTCTGACCTTTGCAAGGTTAAGAAGGTAGGTAAGTGTTCAAGCTGAAAATAGTCCCTGGTTTTCTAATACCCAGCATTCTTTCCGAGCTACTGAACCCATCTGATTGTGTACCAGTGTGTGTCAGCTTTTAAATATTGCAGTGGTATGATTAAAATTTACCGATTAAATAGGGAAGATTTCTAAACGAATCTGAAAAGCCCTATTTGCAGCACGGCTGGTGCTGCGGCCACTGAACTAAAGCCAGGTGCCTTTAGTCCAGATCAGAGCCTAGAGTTTCCTCCCCTCACCTGCCTCCCCCCACCAAGCCCGAAGCCCAAGGAAAACAATAATACCATAGAGAAACCTGTAACTTATTCTTGAGATTGATTATCGTCAGACTAATGCATTTTCTACTGTCTAATGTTTTGGTAATGGCCCCAAAGGGAAAGAGCAGTCATTATAACAATGAGCCTACCACAAACGGAGTAGGCATGGTGTTCTCAGCCTTAACAGAGCACTGGGTTCATTTGTCAGCGTAAGAACAAAACTGTTTACAGAAAGTGCAACTTGGCAATGCGGTATTAAAGCTGGATGCCTTCAAAGGGCACTTGCCTAATAGCTTTATTTATAGTTCACAATTTTACGTAGATTATGCATATTGTTTATAGTCTTTCCAGTCTGAACTTTAGAAGCATTATTTTTTAAGAGGTTATAATGCGTCTTACAAATACAAGTGTTTAAATTATATCGGAAAACTTTAAAAATGTATATGAGTTTAATTTGCATTTGGTAATTTGGGTTGATGTTTTATTAACAAATTGCGGGGTTTCCTTTCAGGAGAGCACAGACATAGATGAAGAGGAGGATGACGACGACAAGGTGAGTGGGCTCAAGAAAGAACATGAAAGAGAGCATTAATGTCTCAGCAGACTATGTGTGCCCAGACTGAGTCAAACTCTTTTTTTTTTAGTACTATAGAGTGACCAGTAGAGTAATTTTCTTGTAATTTATAAAGGATGCCCCTTTTTAATATTGTTTTAAAATGAAGATGAAAAGGGATAAAATATACGGAATAATTGGAATATTATAAAAAGCATACCTATAGGAGGCCTGTCATTTGATGCAAGCAAAGATGAGCTGTCCCCTTGGTGTAGAAAAGGTAGATGAAAGGCAGCCTAGGAAGTCACAAGTAAGTCAAGTGGAATTGCCGTTCCTTGAGCTTCGTGTCTGCACTCTGTGGGGTGGTCACCCACTTCAGAGCCTGTCACTTTCCCAGCTGTTGCTGGCAACGCTTTCAGCTATATGTCTGTGTACATCTGTCCTTTTTTCTTCTCCTGGGAAAATCTCTCAAATCTGCTGCTTTTGTTGTCATTGCGCTTTCAGACAAACCTTCTGGAACAAAAAGAAAAAAAGCGAAATGTCAAATGAGATGCTACTAGCTTAATGGACTTCCAGTCCGCTAGAACCTGTGGGTGTCACGGGCTTGTGGTGGTAGTTGGAGAGGAGTCTAGCAGGAGAGGAAAAGGGCAAAAGGGAGAATCTTAAGAATAAGTATCCAATATAAACTGCCCAGGAAATAAAGACAAATTCAAAAACACTGGCTCCATGACGTAAGCAGCCTTAAAATTAATTGAGCATGCCAGATGGTTTTGCCCATTTCAAACAAATTGGGTGGATTACAAAGTAAATCTTATTTGTTGTGCTAAGATGATCATTAATAGCAAAATAACAAAATAAAGTATAATATTGTTTTAAAGGGAATCAACCTTTTTCAGAATAAAGGTCACTCAGATGCAACCTTATTCTCAATAAATTGACGTGAGTGGCTTGAATATTGAAAATAGTCATAGCCAAGCTAAAGTGCATGATGGGATGTTTTATCAAAGGAAGCGCAAGTATTAAGGAAATTATTTTAAACCTGTACTAGGCAAAATCCTAAATCTTATTAACAAAGGCTTAGATATGAAGAAGATTCCTTTCTGTTTGGCCAATCCTATTTAAATGAGCCACCTGTGGAAGAGGACGTCATCACCTTTTATGGATAATTGTGACCATGTGTCTTTGGCCTATCTGATAAAGGAGAACATCCAACCAGAAGGCAATGAGTGAAAGCATGGTGTTCAGTAACTGGCAGGCAACAAATTCAAGCCATGAAGTCTAGACCAGTGGTTGTCATGGTCTAACGTCGCACTGAGGTGCATCAGGGGCTATCTGGGGGCCTGGGGGCGTGAAGTCGAGCTGTTCGGGCTGTGTACCCAGCCTTTCTGGGCAAGGATGATCCGAGCATGGCCTTCCACACAACAGTTGTGTCAACCTGTCCCACACTGAGGGCACTGGCACTACGACTCTCTTGTTTCCTCCAGGGCAATTTCATTCTTGAGATGTTTTGATTATAGTGTTTTCCTAGTATTTAATAGCTACAGCATGGCCACGTTTGTTTTGCTTCCTCACTTTCATATTTCTATGAAATCTTCTAGAAGAATAAGTCTAAAATGAAATTTTGACTTGTATTTATGCCTCTTCTGCTTAACCCAGCCCTTCTATTGTTAGGCGAGACTGGCCAACTTTGTAGTCCTTGTCGGTATCTTTTCACTCTTACCTCTCTAAGAGATTTGTTAACTAGAAGGAATTTCAACTTTAAGAATTCCTGAGCACACATCCACATGTATATTACAATTCATTATTTCTTCTCCATGGATCGCAGCCTCCCCAACCGAGATGTGCTCATCATCGACCTGCACACACAGTCCTGGGCCACTCCCCTCCATAGTGTCTGTAGCAGAGGGCTTACCCACGGAGCCCTTCTGGCTTCTGTTGCATGTTAGACATGACAGACCGTGCTTCTGGGAACTGTAACACACCCAGTGAGAGATGAAATGTTTACAAATTATAAACACACAGCCGTTTCCTTCCAAACCAGAAGAGGAGAGGGGCTCCTTTCTACCCAAACTATCCATCTTGAAAGTGACACTCCTTAATTGCCAGCGCCCCTTCCCACCAAATACCATCACGGACAACTGTGGAAGATGAAAGCATGCCGGGGCCCCTTGGCACGACTTCCTCAGGAGATGGACACATTCCCATATTCTGCCTGTCTCCGATGCACAGACCAGGACACGGTCTGGGGTCTGTCATACTTTTATTGTCTGGAACGGGGATTGTTGTAAAATGACATCATTGAAGCCTCTTATTCCTTCTCATTGTTAAAAGTCCATGGTAGCGAGCTGTATTAGAAATAAAATCAGACTATTTTCAGTTATAACATGGAACTTTCTGCTAACTAGTTTTTTGGCTTTTAGAAAACTAACTATAGAAACTGAACTTTGAAGAGAGGAACTCTTTCTTTCTTATAGCTGATGGCCTAGGCAAAAAATTGCTTGTTACAAGTATAGTTTGCTGGGGACTTCAGAACAAACAGATAGTGACTAAGTTCAGCCAACAGCAATCAGCTGACATTTCCTATTTGTATTAGATTCCATATGTGGAATTCTTCTGTGTGGACCTTATTTGTATGGATGAATTACAATGAAAATTGCATTAATTTTCTACACAGTAAAGGTCAGTAATTGAAGCATGAACCAAGAAACTATTGTGTAAAATGCTGTATCCCATGCTTAGGAAAGGTCACGTAGAGCCATAATATCTTGTTTTCATTGCGGAAGGTATAAATACTTGCATCAGACTTTCTTTCTTTTTCCAGCCCAACAATCACTTACATAGAATATTTCAGCATTTACTATTAACATCAGGAAGAAAGAATCATAAGGGCATGTAAAAAAAAAAAAAAAAACCATTCCTATTGCTATCGTAAAGAAACAGCACTGTGAAGCCTGCATTGTGGGTTGGTTTGTTTTTAACTTGGCTGTGAGAAACAGGACTGGAATGATCTGTTCTTTTAGGGTTATCAATGAGTTTACAATTGCATAACAGTGTTTATGAAGGAAAAAAAGTCACCCCTTTTTATCGATGATGGGTGAAAACAAGATATGGATGTTTTCCTTTAAGAAGACGAGGAGCATCTACTACATTTGTGTTGATCAATTGGGGAAACTTTTATAATGAAAGGATGGATGACCCTTATATCTCTACCCTCTTTTCCCAAAGTAGGATGTCATCATTAAAATTTAAGTACATTTTAAATCTTCAGTTTCAGTGTTCAAAATTATTTCCATCCTCCACACCAGTTGGTCCACTCATGGCTACCCAATTAGAACCTTCTTAGAGGAGCAGGTGGCTTGTGTATTCGGGAGGAGTCCTTGCTGCAGATGAACCTGCAGAGTCCTTTGGACTACGTGGTGGGGTCCATCATGCCTCATTTCCTGTGTTTTCTTGTTCCAGAGACAGAAGATGGTCTGTAGTCCCTCAACCAGGAAAGCCTATCATTCTTAGAGGAAGTCTTCTTACGATCTCATAGTGAGAGTAGTTTTGCTTACGGTTCCCTCAGGCTTTCTTAAGAATTCCAAAACACAGCCAATGAGTTTGATTAGTGATTTTTTTCTAACTATTGACTAAGCAGTGGTGCTTTAAAATGATGAAGTGTGGCATTTTTAAGAAAATAAAAAGTCACATAATATCTTTGAAAGGTTAACAATAGCGGAGTGTATACACACACATTTTCAGGGCATATACATCTATAGAGAGGACATATTTTAGAGGACCTGCTTAGGGATAATTTTCAGGGGAGTAAAGTAAATGGCTGTTCTGATTTAACTCCTTTTAATTTGATTTAATATGATTTTTAGTGATGAAGTGATTTAATGACTAACATTTGTACCGTACCATCTTACTTTTAAGACTTTAATATTAAAATGGATTCCAGCCAATTCTTAATTATCAGTTTATGCATGTTTTGAATGAGAAAGGATTGGCTTCCCTATTTCCTGCAGTTCTTTCTCTGACACATCGACTTGTTCAGATTTTCCTTTGAGAAATCAAAGCTCCATTCTTAAAAATGTTTGGGCTTCTTTACCTTTAGAAGTAATCCAGACATGTTATTAATCTGACCTTTTGAAGCATTATTCATCCTATTACTATCAGGCTCGCTAATATTCTTTGTACTTGTGGATTTTCTTTGTGATTTCTACTGTAAGGATTAAACTTAGTATGTTACTCCCAAAGGTTGTGAAATATGATAGATAGATTATTTATCATTTGATTAGCTAATGTGCATGTCTAACAGAACACAGTCAGAGGCTCTGATTTTATAGCCTGTACGGCATTTAGATATTTCATTTCCCATTGCCTAAAAGTTTTATATCATGCTAATGTAGAATACATTGGATATTGTATCTCAATTATCCACAAGTCATTGTTTTTGTGAGGAGAGTAGCTATTCCTCTTGTCTTGGCTGATGCAGTCTGCTGCTTTGCTGTGGTTTGCCCTAAGTCACAATGATCCACTGAAGTTTACAAGATAATTGATAGATAATTTACAAGATAATTGATAGAAAGGTGGCGACACCACTTTTTTCCTCAGGAGAAATGTCATAATTTAAGTAAGCGATAAATGACACAAAGGTAATAATTTAAAACAAGACTATGTTGAGTAAGAGTTATTTAAATAATTAGACATAAAAATATCAATATTTGTAGAGTGTTTACAATTTGCAGGATGTTTTTATATGCTTTAGCTCATTTAATAGTCAAACCATCAAATTTGATCTTATTTTCCCCATCTTCAAATAAACAAACTCAGGTTAAGAGAAATGAACTAGCATTCCTGAGATTTCCCAGCCAGGATAGTAGCAAGGCGCCAATCCAGCTCTTCTGATCCAAATCCTGTTTATTTTTGACCATGCCACATTGTTATGAAGGAAACCTGTCATTAATTTATTAGTCTATTTTTCTGCATTATTATTGACAACATTCATGGAGTGGTTT